TGCTTTTGATGGATTTAGTTGTCTTCAAGGGATGAGATTGAGTTTTTTATGTATTTTGATGTTTTAGGCAGTGTTTTGTCGTTGTCTCTGGTAATACTGATTTAAATTGGTGTATCAGTAGTTCTGCATTCCCTTTTATTGTCATTCACTAAATGGCCATTGCTTTTCAACGGTGATACTCCTATGTTGTCTTGTTTTCTAGATTTGATGTATTTCCAAAAAGGTTTTGGGTTGTTGTTTTCCAGTCCTTCCATTATGGTGTTATTGATATACTCCCACTCAGCCTTTCGGACTTGTCGTTTGCATTCTTTTTGGAAATGTTTGTAGTTTGACCAGTTCTTTGTTCTTTTTGCTTGTTGGTATAGCCTGGTTTTCTTTTTGAACATTTTCCCAATTTTGTGGTTTATCCATGGTAGACTTGTTTTAGAGCGAATGAGTTTTGATGGTATGGTTCGTTTTTGAATGTGTCCCAAAATTCTTGTACTGTGGCATCATTTTTGGTTGATAGTATATTCAGTTCTTTATGGAGATCTTCCCATTTAGCTTTTGAGTATACGTAGCATTTACGTGGCCGTTTACTCTGGTATTGTGGTTTTGTATCACAGTCTGTTATGATCATGTCGTGGTGAGATATTCCTGGAGCGTTTGTTGGTGTTTTAATAAGTGATGGGTTGGTGGTTAACACTATGTCCAGGAGGTTTTCACCTCTAGTTGGTGTTTAGTGTATCTGAGTAATTGAGTGGGATATTAGGACTTCCATTAATGTTTTTTGTATTCCCTTGTCTTGTGCGTTATGGTTTATTGACATGGTGTTCCAATCAATATCTGGACAGTTGAAGTCTCCAGTAAGTATGAAATTTTTGTTTTTATTGGAAATCTGGTCTATTGATTTATCAAGTTCTTTGATATCCTCCATATTTTCTGTGTGGCATGTCGAACAAACCTATCGTCAATTCTTTTTGGTCTATCAGTTGTACTTTTACCCACTCAATCTCGCATTTTGTTACTAGATCAGGTTTTTCTACTGATATGATGTCATTGTGTACAAGGACAAACACTCCTCCGCCTAGTGTACCCCGGTCGTTTCTGTAAGCTACATAGTTTTCCGGGAATACTTCACTGGATTTTATTGCATCTTGTGTAGGGGTTTTTCCTGGTTTTACTCCTTTAAGCCAAGATTCTGTGCCGAAGATGATGTCTGGTTTGATATAATTTTCTGCTACTGCAAATTCAGAAGTCTGGTCTTTGATGCTTCTGCAATTTAATGATGTTACTACGGTATTATCAAGTTCCTTTTTGTTGGTATGTTGAATACATTACTGCTGGTAGTTCCGTTTTTGTTCTTATTGCTTTTTTCGGTGAAGAGGTGTTTATGGAGTTATTACCCTTTTGGCTGCTGGCTTTTAGTGGACTGAACGCGTTCGATGTAATTGATTCAAATGTAATGTTGTGGGTTAGTGGTTCATAATAATTAGAGGTGTTAAGTTCATAGCTGTGGAAAGTAAAGGTTGAGACATTGATGGTCTCACATTTACAGCATAACCATTGTACGTTGGATATCTGAATTAGATCATAATCTGTGGAACATAGTTCTATGCATGATTTGTGGTGCCAGATGTTGCAGTCATCGCAGCATACTCCTTCGCAGTTCCTTCATATTATGATCCGAAAAGAAATATAAACTAAGACCGGCCAAATAGCAAAACTCTATATAAATCGCTATTTTGCGCTAAGGATGTTATTTTGCCGGAGCCGGTAAAATAGCATCTAAGAGGCTATGCCGGAGCCGGCAAAATAGCCACTGCCTAATACAATGGAAGCAAGACAACTCGCTTCTCTGCCAAATCGCACCACACCGAATCACCCCACTTTTTCACTAACTCGCCCCACTCTTGTTTACCATGTTGAACTCGCTTCACTTTCTAAAAAATCGCTCCACTGTTTACAAAATCTCCCACTTAAGAAAAAGGGTTTAAATGATTATGATTGAAATTAAATGATGCTTCAATTTGTAGATACATTATTTATTATTATGTAATTTTTGTATTTATTGGAGAATAACTTTATTAGTATTATAAATACCCATGATTCTTGACTTATCTAGTAAAACAGTGATTACATTTACCAGAAAAACAAACATCATAAACAGTTACAATAGTCAATAACATAGTACGTCACAGAAATGCTGATACTTACTTCTCGCTGCTTTATTTCAACCAACAGAAAAGAGTTAAAAACAAAAACGAGAATGTGTCCATAGTACACGGATGCCCCACTCGCACTGTCATTTTCTATGTTCAGTGGACCGTGAAATTGGGGGTAAAAACTCTAATTTGGCATTAAAATTAGAAAGATCATACCATAGGGAACATGTGTACTAAGTGTCAAGTTGATTGGATTTCAACTTCATCAAAAACTACCTTGACCAAAAACTTTAACCTGACACGGGACAGACGGACGGACGAACGAACGACGCACAGACCAGAAAACATTATGCCCCTACTACTATCGTAGGCGGGGCATAAAAAGAAGATGCATTTCTAAGGTTTTCATCAGTATTCATTTAATTCATAGGTAAGGCTAGTTGGTAGGCCTTAATTCCGAGTAGTTTAATTCTTTTATTCATTAGTGCCCCACTTTTATTCAATGGGATTAAACTCCTTTTCATAAGTGGGGGTTGGGGTTTGCGGGGGGGGGGGGGGGGGGGGGAGTTGGTATTCATTAATGCAGTAAGATGTTATTCTTTTTTCATAAGTGCGGCAAGTTGGCAACGGGATTTTACCCTTTTTCATAAGTGGGGCGAGTTGGTAGGACTAAATTCATCGGGGTTTTACTATTTTTCATAAGTGGGGCGAGTTGGCAGACCTATATTCAACGGGATTTTACCCTTTTTCATAAGTGGGGCGAGTTGGTAAACAAGAATGGGGCGATTTGGTGTGGGGCTGTCATGGATTCAATACAATTATATGTCTGTGGTTAATAAATAAAGGTATAATTTCATTCTTGAAACTGCGCACAAAAAGGATAAAAAAACTTGAACACAAGTACAGTATAAGTAAACTTTTTTTTTTTTTTTAAATAAAATAGTTCCCTACATTACCATCTTACTATTTTATGACTCTTTAGGACCTAAATTAATTAATTGTTTGCAAAGTTTTAAGATAGCAAGTACCTTTAAAGAATAATGACAAGATCCCAAATAAGGTAATTTTAAACTGTGAAGGAAAACTTGTGTATATATGTTGAATTGTTCTAAACCCCAACCCTTTTACATAAGTCTTATAAAATAACCTTTTCATTATAAATTCTGATGTACGTATAGCACCTTTAACTAACAATTATAAGAAAGTTTAATTTAAGACCACTTAAATTCTTAATTCTTATTTGTAAATATATCCAGTTCTTACTTAACTTGTTCTTATGTGAGCCAAAATTTGTTCCTGTAAAAAAAGTTCCAGTGGAACTTATATCACAGGAAATATGTTCTAGCAGAACTTTTTTCACAGGTAATTTCTATATAATTTGTTCCATCTCTATAAAATAAGTTCCACACTTTACCTGGTGAAATAAGTACCGGGTTGGTGAAATTTGTTCTTTACCTAGTGAAATAAGTTCCGGGTTTATGAGATTTGTTCCTTACCTGGTGAAATAAGTTCTGAGCTTGTGAGATTTGTTCCTCACCTGGTGAAATAAGTTATTTGTCTGTGAAATATGTTCCACTTGTTAAACAAGTTATCTTATATACTGATACTGAGCATTTGTCATCAGTGAGTTTAAAGTTATTATTCAAGTGCATTATGAAAATAAGTATTATATTGATAATATAATAGATAAAAAGTGTAAATCATCCAGTTTGGATCCTATGGAGTATAGCAAATGTTTAATTATATACTCTGTAAAAAATATCTAAATGACACTTTTGAACCAGAAAAGATTAGAATAAGAAAAATCATTCAGAAAAAATTTATAGTTTAAGAGGAACATATGTACTAATTTGAAAATTAAGGACAAAGTGACTTGATCATTTATAAATATCAAAAGACATGTAGAAAAAAAGACACACTCTTTTGAAACTGTGCTATGTCCTAAGTACATGTATGACTAGAACACGGGGCCATGACAGTTAACAGGAACCAAGGAGGAATACCGCATAAAACATAAATACAAATTATGATGCATTACCATCGCTTTTATTTCTTATCTTCATCCTATAGTTACAGTCATGCCTTCAATTGCAAATGTATCCCATGCAAGTACACTCAGTACAGCATTTAGCTTGCATTATAATTTAAGTGTAACAAGAAAATGTTTCGGTGTGCAATAATGATTGAGCGGAACTTATTCATTAGTTTCTATGAAATATTTACATGTTTGTTTAAAACTTATATCACAGGAACTTATTTAAAACTTTTTAATATTAATTGAAACAAAATTCATGGAGCTATGATTTTTGATTCGGAACTTATTTCACATTTGGCCAAAAAATTAGTTCCGGAACAAGTTTTACAGTGCTGGAACATATTTTCTGTGATATAAATTCCGGTGGAATATATTTCCTATGAAATTTGTTCCGGCGGAACAAATGTCACGCCGGAACAAATTTTTTATTACACTTACACCTCAGCACATTATGAATATTATTTTTAAAATTTTATGATGACAATCCTATGAATTGATTATGATATTAATTATTTAGTAATTATTATTACCTAAATTCAGTCATCTGTACATAATTAAATGTTTCCTTATGTTTTAAGGTGTATATAGTTGCTACAATTATACCCTATGGGTAGTGCTCCACAATTAATGGAGGAATATACAAGAAACTGAACTGAACATTGTATTATAAGTCTCTGTTTGAAATAATATTATGACCTAAACCAAGGTTTTTTTTTATTTTTAAATTTTGTAGACATCGGATAACAACAACTTGACATTTTTAGACATTCCCGTAAATACCGCGGGAAAATTACCTCCTCCTAATCATGATTAGAGGGACATAACTCTATACGAAAACAAGTGCGAGGCTTCCTTGGCAACATGCAAAACCTGATCATTTACCTTTGCATTTAAGTTTAAATACTAAAGTGTTATTATTAACATTTTTTTGACGTCATATGCTGTTTCGTAATAGTACTAGGCCTTGCTTCATTGCAAGTTAACATTTTTTCACGGCGGGTTATTTCAATAATTCTGGTGACCATTTTCAGTGTTTTTTTCATAAATTATTTACAAAATACCGAAACTTGATTAAAATGGCATATTACAATCAAGGAGGACAGTACCAGGCAGGCTATCAACAAAGCCACGGTCAGCCACCCCAACATGGACAGTACTACCAACAGCAGTATCAACATTATCAACAGCCAAGCCAACAGTATGGGGATTATGGTAACTACTTTCAACAGAGTGTATTTAGTACAAATGCATGGCAGGTAGGTTGATTATTGCACTGTTTTAATGTCCAACTTAACTTTTTCATGCATAACAGGTTGGGCATGATCAACTTAAATAGTGTGGATTAGTTTGCAAAGTGAGTAACTTTATAATCCCTTAACCCTTAATTTCCTTTTGACGTCACCCCCTTTACTCTATAATGATGCCTTTTGACGCCTCTGAGTGGTACTTCAGTTGTAATACGAAAAATCTGTATCAGACTTTTTAAAAGCTGGTAACTGCTCAAATGAGTGATATTTTAGTAAAAAATGATATGAAATATCCACATTTTATTCTTGAAATGGCACTTATTCATGTAAATTGGAGCAACTTTTCCAAAAGAGGAATAGAGGACTGGATTAAGATTGCCAGTTTTCCTGTCATAGGTTAGTGGTTCTCTCTAAGTATTACTGCTTTCTTCACCATTAAGCTGCTATAACAATAGCCAAAAGTGCTTTTAGTGATCATTGATATATAAAACCATAAAACAGCATTTATTCAAAAACCTAATAGAAGGATGAAAATTACTGATCCATTGACATTTTATCTTTGTGAAATTGCAGCCCATTCAGTGTTCTCCCCATGATTATTGGATAGCACCAGGGTAAGCAAGGGGACAAATTAGATGTATGCATTGAAAATAATTTGCATTGTGTCACAACACATTTCCTCTATCCTTCTTAGGCCAAAAATAAAATTTGAATTGTTTGATGTTGCCTATATGTTGTACCTACTCACCACAAAAGCAGCGTACAATGTATCCTAAAAGTTTTGACACAAATTGTTTCAAATTTTTCTAAAAGATTTTTTCCTGCTCTAACAATGTTTTCTTGTCTAAGACATGCAACTTATGTTGTTGGCCAAACAAAAAAAAAACCCTACCTACCTACCTAACCCTACAAGGCATGGATAGGCATCATCATTTCTATACTTTTTATCTACATGTATATATGAGGTTTATCTTTTTGTAAATAGACCATGCATGCAACAGTTAATTGTACATGTAATGTGAAAACTTTTGCCAGGTTGCAATTTTCACAAGACTTCAATATATGAATGGGGGGTGTTTTTGAAATGCCAGCTGAATGCCTGCACCCCGAATCTTATGTTGAAACCCCCACTTATTTCTTATTCATGTTATTTGGTTAAATATTTTCAGAAAGTTTATTTCTGAATGATAAATATTACAGTTGATAATCACAGTATCACAGGTTGCAGAGAAGTAATTTTAAAGTTCAGATCTATTAGGTGTCAGTTCAGAACAATATCTGGTACACTACATCGTTTTTTGTCCCCCACGTAATGCGTTGCGGAGAACATGGAAATATTGGGCGTCCGTCCGTCCGGTCTTGTTAGTGCTCTCACAGGTACAATTCTTGCCAGATTTTTATAAAACTTATACTATACATGTAGGTTAATATCAGAATATCTCGGACAAGTTTCATAATGGTGGCCGATCAACTTTTTTTTTAAAAGAGTTATGCCCCTTGGAAATATTAAATTTATGGAAAATGGCCTTGTTAGCACTCTCACAGGCACAATTCTTGCCAGATTTTTATAAAACTTATACTATAGGTTAATATGAGCAATATCTCGGACATGTTCTATAATGGTGGACGATCGACTTTTTTTTAAATAGTTATGCCCCTTGGAAACATAAAATATGTGCAACGTGGGGGACATTGGAACTCTGTTCTTTTATTATACTTACAATAAATAAATAGGAAATGTTAAAAAAAAGTTGGTCACCTTTTTGTGTTGGTTAAAACAAATTAGTACTGGTAATTCTATAATAACTGTTCTCTCTTTTCGAAAAGTTGAAATTTAAGTGCTTGACATCTGGTCAGGGAAATGAAAAATTTTGCCTGACCGATGTACATGTATACTTTGCTTGGCAGATATGAACATAACATGGAAATATTGAAACAAAATTGTCTGATATTTGGTCAGACAATTGGCAATACTTTTCTGACTAACCCATAATTTCCTTCACATGTCAGGTGGTCATGCATATTTTCGGACATCAGAGTGTTTCCTTAATTACATTTATATACATTGTACCACAATTTTAGAACACAGATGTGCATTTGACTACAGTGGAAAATACATGAACACTTATGACCTTAATGGACTAACTATTTCCATGGTTAATTACTTGTTCTAAAATACTGTAGGCACTATACTAAAACTTCCCTTTGTTTGTGGTTTTTCAGGCATTTCAGTTCCAGACTCCAAATGAGCTTCAGCAAGTTTTCCAAATGGAATTGCAAAAGAATCCTGCAAACGGTGTAAGCTTTATTCTAATGTTTGACAGTATCATATTAGTGATAAACATTCTTAGTTTTCTTTCTGAAGTCTCACTTGACTATTACATGCATTTATCTCCTATTTCTTTAATTTTCAACAAATGTTCCTGAAAGTGAGTCACTATGGATAGTGATGATAGAAGATGAAATAACGGATATTTTAGGTAAATCTAGGTCATTAAGACAGCAAGCCAATAACAGAAAAAAACAAGTCACCGAGAGGTCAACATATGGTATTAAAAAAATTGGTCCTAAAAGTGAGATATTATAGATAGTGTGAAGATGAATGAAAAGATAAGTTGTGTACAGTTTAATGAGAAAGCAACCATATGACACAAAAAGCATAAGACTTAGATCTAGAGGTCAACATATAGTCTAACAATAAATAAATCAAGTCCTGATAAAATATATCAAGCTCTTAATTGCCTCAAGTCTAGAAAAGTTTTGAATGAATTTAACAGATAAGCTTTTAAAGATCTTGCATTTATAATAACTGAATTCTGTAATTGACTCTTTTGTCATGAATCTTGCTAACACAGTGTATATAAAAATAAGAAGATGTGGTACAATTGCCAACGAGACAACTCTCTAAATGAGACCAAATGACACAGAATTTAACAACTATAGGTCACCATACGGCCTTCAACAATGAGCCAAATCCATTCCAGCTTTAAAAGGGCCCGAAATGACAAATGTTAAACAATTCAAACGAGAAAACTAAAAATACAATTAATGAACGAAAAACAAATATGATACACAGAAACAAACGACAACCACTGAATTACAGACTCCTGACTTGGGATAGGCAGTTTGTTATCATTGCATTTCATTATTTAGTTTGGTGTATAATTTGGTGAAGGAAATGTTTTCCAAATTATGTCCTTTCCATCCACTAATTCAAATTTATGTCAGTATTTCCTTTTACTATGCAACCATATCGTTATCTAAACAAAGATACATTATAACTAAAAACGATCAACATATCAAAACAACAATGCACAACAACTAATGTACCTTAGATATGAAACAAGGTTGCTACAAAAACCAGTCAAGAATTTTGAATAACGTTCTTCAAAAGTTATTATGGCATATTAAAGTTTAAATTTGATTTAAGGTGTCAAACCACCTATAGTGATATAATGTGAAGTAGATGATTTTAGGGCATATTTTATAGTTTATAATTATACATTATTAGGTATTTGAAGGCTATCATATTTTGACATAAGAATAAATTATTTATGTTTTCTCTCATCCTTATCCGTTGGTTGTCTTTTTTCAGCGAAGACAAGCCATTCAAGCAGAAGATTTGTGCAATATAATGAACAACTGTCACACCATTAGAAATTTTTTCAGATGTCATGAGGGTTATAGTAAGTTCAATTACTTGGCAGTCATATGAACCTGTGTTACTGTAGTTTCATGTCTGGCGAGATTGCATATATTCATTTAAAAAATTGGGCAGAGAGAAAAATTTTAATACATGACACGATTTGACATAATAAAAATGCTATCTAAAAAATTTAGTTGCAATATGAAAATAAAGAGATGTGGTATGATGGCCAATGAGACAACTATCCACCAGAGTTAAAAGGATGTAGATGTAAGCAATTATAGGTCACTGTATGGCCTTCAATATTGAGAGAAAAAAATCATATTGTATAGTCAGCTAATAATTCAAACCAAAAACTAAAGGAGTTAATTTATATCAATTCAATATATGAAAAAAAAAATGAAAGACATGAACAAACGAAAACCACAGAATTACTGTGGGCTCCTGATTCAAGCTAATTTCATCAATAAATTGATGAAAAAATTATTCTACTTAGATTTATATTTGAAAATAATTCATTAAATAATATTAGTCAAGAATTTAATGTTTATTGAAAACTTGCTCTTTTTTTTACAGTACACTGGAGCAGAGAACTTTGCAGGTATGTATTAGCTATATTGGTAAAATTTAAGTTAGAATTAAGTGAAGTACCAATTTTAATCTGTTTAGATCATAACCTGTAGAAAAAACACTTTTAAAAATCACAGTACTAGTGGAAAATTAAGACATAAAATAATGATACAAGACATGTTATATGTACATGTGTTTGTGAAAATTTATAATTCTTTATAGATATTGCCACTATAAAATGTACATTGATTGGATATTTTTTTTATACTTCTAACGCAAATAATTTATATACAATGCATTAGTGTTATATGAGGAAGACTTCAGTAAACATAGTACCTGTAACTAATAGTTTTGCCTCTTCACACAAAATATGAAATGCTTCATTGAGAATAGATGAATTTATAGAATTGTTTTTTAATTCTAATTTCTTTAATTGTTTCAGTATTATGCTGTCCATGTTAGATGTATCCTCCATACACAATGACAATAATGATTAGAAAAACACTAACAAATTACATTACACACTTTAGATATTACCTATTTACATTATCCCAAAAACCAAAACAGATTTATTTCCTTTTAAAGAAGGTAGGAAATATGGGATACATGAAGATGTGCTAAGTACATGGCACATAATCCAGTGAAATACTTAATCCATGAATTATTTTGATTCTAATAGGACAAATCTCGTAATTTAAAAACTGAAGCGATGGTAGTATGCCGTGTGTGTGGCTGTTCTTTTTTACACCCGGTTAGATAAAGCTAAAAATGTTCAATAAATCTATAGCTTGCATGAATTATTTCTTGAATAACCGCTAGAAAAATGTGTTTAATTCTTTTAATTTTCAGCCCCAGCATTTGCCATTTTTGTCGAGCCTTCGACTTTTGTCGAAAAAGCGAGACATAGCGATCCTACATTCCGTCGGCGTCGGCGGCGTCCACAAATATTCACTCTGTGGTTAAAGTTTTTGAAATTTTAATAACTTTCTTAAACTATCCTGGATTTCTACCAAACTTGGACAGAAGCTTGTTTATGATCATAAGATTATATTCAAAAGTAAATTTTGTAAAAAAAAAATTCCATTTTTTCCGTATTTTACTTATAAGTGGACTTAGTTTTTCTGCCAGGAAACATTACATTCACTCTGTGGTTAAAGTTTTTGAAATTTTAATAACTTTCTTAAACTATCCTGGATTTCTACCAAACTTGGAAAAAAGCTTGTTTATGATCATAAGATAGTATCCAGAAGTAAATTTTGTAAAAAAAAATTCCATTTTTTCCGTATTTTACTTATAAATGGACTTAGTTTTTCTGCCAGTTAACATTACATTCACTCTGTGGTTAAAGTTTTTAAAATTTTAACAACTTTCTTCAACTATCCTGGATTTGTACCACACTTGGACAGAAGCTTGTTTATGATCAAAAGCTAGTATCTAGAAGGAAATTTTGATAAACTTTTGTTCCATTTTTTCCGTATTTTACTTATAAATGGACTTAGTTTTTCTTCCAGTCAACATTACATATATTCTGCAGTTTAAGTTTTTAAAACATTTATTAGATTCATAAATTATCCTGGATTTTTACCAAACTTGGACAGAAGCTACTTACAATCAAAAGATAGTATAGAGAGGAATATTTTTATTAATTTTTTTCCTCATTTTTGTTGAGCCTGCCCTGCGATTAACACCAAAAGTAGGCGAGACACTGGGTTCCGCGGAACCCTTACAAATTTTTGATTTGCATTTTTTTGTTGCTTAGCTACCGTCAAATCCATAGTTGACATTTCGTAACTAAGGAGCCGCCATGTTGACTTGCTGAAATCCGCAAATACGCAATTAATGCAAAATAATAGAAGATAAAACAACACCTACCTCAAAACTCCATTTTAATGCAATATTATCCGAATTTTGATTGTTCACGTAACAGAAAAACTGTCAGCTTTAGCATTTCCATTCGTATGTCGTCATGTTTCGAAATGATGTTAATGCGCCCATGGCATTAATGGAATTTTGCAGCATTTTTTTCTTCGTATGATTTTGTACATATTTCCGAACTCTAATGCATTAATTCTTTTTGTTATGCACCAGAATAAGAATAAAGGTTCTGTAGGTTTTTTTTCAATTGCAATTTTTAACACAGCGAAATCGGCGTAGGGTTTGCACATATGTTACGATACATGTGGATTTACGTGGGAGGTAAATTGTAACAGCCATTATTATGTATCTCTCTGAGCTTGCACTAAGTATAGATATATTGAGAATTTTATCACGGTGTTGTTTACAAAGCGAAAGAAGCACGTCATATTAAAATTAATATTTAATGAAGAAGTATCAGAATTTGAATTATTACATTCTTTTTTGTTTGCTAGCAAGTAGATATCTACAAAATGTATTTACTATGTAAATATCTTTTTGGATAAGAGTTGTGCTTTATATTATTTCTTTGTGTGTTTGCTTGTAAGAATCAATAGTTTTTGTGAAAGGAGTAGGCCCGGTAAGACCCCTTTTTGGCCCCAAAATATAGCATTTTTACCAATGTTTTAAAATGTAAACTTTTAGCTATTTGTTGGAAAGTGGAATACTTCTGTTTCATAAATATGGGCTGTTTTTGAAAATACAATGCATATGCACCAGGTAATAGCATCATAAATTCGTGCAATATTACTTAAATCTTCAAAATTTTAGCATTTGTTCTAATTTGAAGACGGTTTTTGTCTAAAATGGAAGTGGCCGCATTTGTGTTCAGTCTTAATATTTAAATACATGTTATATTTGATGATAATACATAACATATATAAAAGTTGAGACTGAACACGAATGCGGCCACTTCCATTTTAGACAAAAACCATCTGAAAAATTACGTTTTATGACATATTTGATAGATTTTGCATATTTAAGCGTGAATTTGAGCTTCTCTAATGACCAAATCAGTTCAAATCTTTTACATAAACTAATTGAATCAACTGAAGTAGACACTTAAATATTTAAAAAATGTCAAAAATCTTTCATTAGATGTACTTCGAATATAAGGCCTAAACTAAGAAGGACCTTCTCCTTTTGCCATCAACGGTTGGTATTTACTGTCATTTTATGTTACTGTTATAACAAATGAAAGGAAGATACTTTTAACAAAAATAGCAATGGTTTATTTATTACAAAAACTGAGCAGAAAATTCCCTTAATATATAAATTATTGAAATAAACTTCATTTCAAGAACAATTTGACCACAATGCCTTCTTTTTCTTTTATTTATAAAAAAAAGCTATAATTGTAAAAACACCATTTTAAGATTACTGTCCCTCCACCATCTCCCCTCCTAACAGCATTGGAGGGGCATAATATAGTTATAGTCTTTATCCTTTTCTCAGTAATCTTTTATCAGTGGCTGATTTAGGGGGGCATAGAGGGCGTACACTTGATTTCTTCTGTTTTATTGAATTACACCTCTTTCATAAATCCAGGATCTATCCCTGGCTTTGAACACTACTCTTCAAAGACCATTGACCCAAAATCTTCCATTCTTTTACAATTGTTTGTCCTCATGTGTAGTTGATCATACTAAAATCATTTTTGTTTGACTATTTATTTGGTTAAGTTTTTGGGCTTGGACCATTTTAACCTATTGTAGCATACTACCACCTTGTGCCATTGTTCTGCAGTCCACTCTTAAGACATGTATTGCACAGTTACAGATTTGCCATGCTATTGCAATTTTTTTGTCATCAAGGATATGTTTTATATTTTCAGTATAATGATTTCTATGTTAGATGTATCCAGTTGAGTATTGAGTTGTGTGCTATATACTTGGTGATAGCTAGTAATTAACAATTATTTTTAATAGTTCACAGTTAATATACTTTCATAAGTATGGTCTAAAAAGGTTCAACACTAGCTATATCTACTTGCTAGCAAAATCTTTCTATCTAACACTATCTGTGCCTACATAGTTTTGCAAGGACCATAATTATTACTTCCAACACATGCTGCTCATTACTGATATTTGGCATCAAGTAAGAGCACCAAATTCATGACTACAGTTGAAGAACATTTACAGTTTTATAGAAAATGTCACATTTCTTTAAAATAGCTACATTGTACCAATATTTGTAAAAAGTAAAAAAGTCTGGTAAAAAAAAGTTACCAATATATTTGTAAAAAGTAAGAAGTCTGGTAAAATATATTTATAACAATTATTTGTTGTTTGAGTGGAATGATTTTATACAAAGAACATTTTATTATTCCATTTAAGGCTGGACTTTAAAAGAATGTTAGTGTTGAACTTTATATGATGGGATTGCAACATGATTGATAACATTTTATGGTTTTAAGGAAACAGTTTCACATTGTATTGTCATTTTTGTTAAAAAATCACAAACTTAATGTTTGATTAAAGGCTCAAAATGAAGATTTTTGTAATTTTGTGAAAATGTACTTTGGGCAATACAAATTTTATTTCAAAACTGTAATAAATATAATAAGTGGAATTATAAGACTGCATTTTATTACTTTTATTTCACTTTGAAAGTGAAAGTTAGTTAACATTTCTTATTACCTGTCCCCTCCCTGATTTTTTTTAATACCCTTGTTAAGCAGTATTGATTTGTTTTGATGTTCTAATATATGTTAAATAGAATGGCTTTCAATGTGCTTTTAAAATTTACAAAACTAGTATGTGTTTCTGTGCTTATTTTTAAGAAAACTCACTAAGTGTGCAAAAAAATATGTGATTCCCAAATTGTTATCTCAATACTTTGCTGATGCCTTTATCATTTTATTTGTATGATGTTTTCTGTTGCAAAACTTTCAATAGAACACAAACATTCATCTTCATGTAAACCCTTATCTCACCTGAATCTGTTAAGGGTTGAATGAAGGCCTTAACAATTTGTTTTGTACTCTGTGTATTATTACTGACAAAAATGTTTAATAACATAAAGCTTGTAATCATTATACATCAATGTGCTTTGTTCTTACAAATAATAATTACTGCTGCATGCACCAATTGTAAACATGGTGAAGCATATGCTTATTTGACCATCAAAACATTTATTTAAGTTAATATTAGCTATAAAACATAAAATTAAGAAAATATGTTTTTGAAGAGTTGCCACAATCCAATCTCCAATTGACCTTGGCAACTTTATAAGTACAGTACAATTTTGTTATTCTAACTCAAATGAATTTCAAAATGATTTCCATTATAAGCTTGAAAAATTAGGTATAAAATCGAAATAAAATATAATTCTGTAAAATATTGTAAATTATTTTGGTGCATTAACACCATGACAAAACATGATGTCTTATGAATGAAAATTTTACCAATTTAGGTTATTCTATTAATTGTACGAACAAAATTTGGATAATATATCTCTTTAAAGTACAACCAAGGTGGAATTATATTTTTCATTACTAGTGTATATTGTAGTCATTGAACATTTTGACATCAGGAATTCAATATATCAGCTCACTCCTTAGTTATGACATATCAATTGTGGATTGGATGATTAAATAATCAATGAAAAAAGTGACATAAAAATTGCATTATAATTTTGTATCTTAGTGTATATGTGTTAGTAAACAGTAAAGCTGCATGTGTTATATTGTAGTAAGCTTTACAAATTATAATTAATTGTCTAATGCTACTTAACTGTATTAACAAAACATTTGAATTACAAACCTTAACTAAACCTCAGAGGTCAGGAGATGGTTTTATGCAATGGAATGAGTTCCAGGAACTACAACAGTGTCTTGTCCAATGGTACCAAATGTTCAAACAGTTTGATCATGATGGGTCAGGGTATATTGAAGCTAATGAATTGGTCAACATTGTGAGAACTCAGTTCAGTAGGTATCAGTATAACTGTCATACATGTATTGCTCATTGGCCCCTATATAGTCTTTTTGTGCTAAGGCGACGTAAAGCAACCACCAATCAATCAATCCTTTGAAAAAATATTAATTCTTAATAGATTGTTTTCAATTATGAATGACTTCTAATCAATTGTTTTTGTAAATAAACATCTAACAAACTTTCACAACCTGGTGCATACAGGAGATTTTAAACCTGGGTTGTGCTGAGCATGTGCCCTCACTCAGACCAAAAAATTAGCATGGGTTATTTTGCAGGTATAAAAAAGAGAGAAAAGAAAATCAGAAATGTAAACAATATCTAAATTCTCAAATGCCTAGAGATTCACAGGAGGGTTTACTCCTGTACCACACACCAGGAAACTCCTGGACCTGTTTGTTAAAACAAAATTAGTCAACTCATATGATTTATTGCTCTTAAACACAATTGTTATCACATTTTTGTGTTTTTAGCAGAAATTTTAGAAAAAAAGAGGGAAACTGTATGCATTAAAAACAATAATCAAAATGAGAACTACAATTAAGTTAATATAATCATAATCACAGTCTACTCCTTATAGGAGTTATTGCTCTAAATGATGATCTATTACCAATTTCAGTGTTTTTACCTAATATCTTGAAAACTATTATTATAATCAGACTGAAACTTTGAACATCAAAAGTCATCACCAACTCAAGATCTACAGTAAGTTAAAATGATTGAAATGATTTCATTAAAGGAGTTGTTGCCCCTAAATCACAATTTTAATCAATATTTTTCAATGTTGCCTATATCTTGAAGACTATGATAAATAGACAGAAACTCTGGCCAACAAAAATAATAAGCAAGACAAGATTTTGGCCCACACATTTTCCATTTATCCTACATATTTCAATTTTATGCAAAAATGACAGGTGAGCAATAGGTTCCTTCGAGCCTCTAGTTTAGTTTTGTATTATCTGAACTTTAACATATTCATAAATAGAATTTGAAATTAAGAACATATAATGAATTATTTTATAGAAAAATGTGGCATCCTGTCCATTTGAATACTACAGTTCATATCTTGTGTGCTAATTATTACAAGTACAGATTTTACAGATAAACTAAATCAAAATATCCCGTACAGAAACTGCTATCAAAAGCACATAAGTTGCACATGTAAATCTCATAAGATGCTAGTAAGAATTGTATGCAAATTGAATTGCTCACGTTTGCAGTTTGGTAGTTCATATGTGCCCAAAAAATCTTAACATAATGCTCATATGAGCAATTCAAACCTCATATGAGCTAATTATCACCTTTATTAGTTTCATCTTAGTTTTGTACATTGAAAAGTTCTTCAATTCTTCTAAGCATTTAAAACTAACATAAATCATTGCTAATATGAGCTTTTTATGGCCCCGCAACAAAGTTGTCGGGGCCATATAGTTTTACCCTTGTCCGTCATTCCGTCATTCCGCAACAAACCATTATACAGACTTTTTTTCTAAACGCCTTCAGATATTGGGCTGATTTTTGGTATGTGACTTAACCATGATAAGTTACAGATCAAGTTTAAGTTTCGTTCTGCTCTGCTAATTTTTTCCGAAATAAAGGGCTTTGGACTTTGATAAATTGTTGAAAATCACAGTTATATGGACTTTTTTTCTAAACGCCTTCAGATATTGGGCTGATTTTTGGTATGTGAGTTAACCATGATGAGTTACAGATCAAGTTAATGTTTCGTTCCGCTCTGCTAATTTTTGCCGAAATTACGGGCTTTGGACTTTGATAAATTGTTGAAAATCAGTTATACGGACTTTTTTTCTATACACCTTCAGATTTTGCACAGATTTTTGATATGTGAGTCTGCCATGATGAGTTACAGATCAAGTTTATGTTTCGTTCTGATATGCTGATTTTCATGTCGTTTCAACACATCTTCAGTACATCCACTTCCTGTTTGCTGATAGTTTGAAATATAACTTTTCATTGATCTTAGGAAATTTTTTCATCAAACTAGTATTGGTCTTGAGAGCTGGATACTATCCATGCTTGTTTGTAGCCACATGTGTTGTTGAAATTTCAGATTTTAAAACTTTTTGAGACGGGGCCATTCGTGTCGTTCCGACACATCTAGTTTTAAACTGACATGCCCAGTCTTGTACTTCCTGTAAATTAAAATTTACAGCATCAATTTGGAGGGAGATAGAGATGAAAATTATGCAGCCATATTTTTGTGTTATTTAAACTCTCAGACTATGGCATCAATTGGAATCTGATATTACCAGTGTGGCTGTCGTTAAATCTTTGTAAGTTGTCATTTCTATTTCTTTTTTTCTTCAAATTCTCAAATATATTATACAATTTTATGTCCTAAAATTTTTGAAATATATGCTTCAAATAAGTACTATGAAGATAAATCCTATTTAAAAATTTGTGAAATTTAGCACTGTAAAAGACATTCATTATATAGTATTACTAAATTTGTAAGTCACTGCACTAGTTTCAAAATGTAATGTTACATAATATTTTCAGTCATTTTTTTAATAACAAAAAAGACAAAATAATATAAATTCATAACTCAGTAATAAACAATGACAAATAACATCATGTGTTATTTAAAAGAATTGCATTTATTTTATTTAACTAAGATTCATGATCCTCTTTTACATTTTTGAGTTTATCCTGTTTAGAAGCAGGCATTTTGTTTTTTACTTTCGGCACATTTATTTGAATCATCATCATCTGAAAATAATTAGATAACAAAAGCAATTGGGTCAACTTATTTTCACATGTGAGTAGCTGCTCATATGAGCAATCTGATAAAATCCACATGTGAAACTAAAAGCTCACATGAGCATTTGCAAGTGTGGTTTTTAACATGCAATTTAGGTTAGTTTTATATGTGCAATTTTTGTGCTCACAAATTGCTCACCTAATTTGGATGTTAAAAATCTCATGTGCAATCATGTTAGTTTCTAACGTTAGATCTAATGTGACCATCTTATATGCAATTTGTTAGCACCGTTTGGTAAGGTTTGTGAAGGCATGATGGACAATCAGTTTGATACATTCATCAAATTCTGTAGTTAAGTTTGTTTCTGTTTATGGATTTCCTGATGAAAACACATGTACAAAGTTTGATTATTATATCATTGTGGGCAATGTTACCATAATAACATCAAAGAATGACAATTAAGATTGCCTTTTTTTCAACTTTTAAAGAATCATACGTCAACTATTCCAAAATAATGAACATATAAGGTAATATTGGTCAATAAAAAATGATAGATTATTTTGTTTTGTTTACAGAATACAACTTAACACCACAGAGCATAGAAACATTACTGAAAAGATACTCAAGAGTGATCATGTGGGGAGGACAAGAAAAATGTCTGATAGCATTTGATGATTTTGTATCTGTATCTGTACGGCTTAGGGCTTATACAGGTAAGTAATTTTAAGGTATATTCCAAAAATATAAAACCTGTTCATACTGACGACTTTAGTTGAAAAGCTCTTCAAATGATTGATATTCAAATGAAAATTGGTGATTAACTGTCATAGTCCTGACTTGGTTCATCTGGAAACGACAGGTTGAACATGTTTTATGACGAGGCAAACTTGTATGACAGATTTTGAAAAACTAATTAAAGATTAAGACATCATAAGCAGTCTAGGAAAAACATGACCTTGTTCAATGTCAAAATATAATTCCACAAGATGTAGAACCCTTAATTTAATTTTAAAAAGTGGATAGATATACAGGTTTAGTTATGTATTAAACTGTTAAAAATAAAATCAATGTAAGAACTGTTTACCAAATGGCCATTTCAGAATAAGTACTTATGACTGTTTTTTTTGGGGGGATAGAGTTTCAAAATACCATTTGAATAGTTTGTTCTTGTCAAAATTCATTTGTTTTGATTTTTTCTAGACGCCTTCAGAAAGCGAGATCAGCTACAAAATGGTGGAGATTCTGGAACTTGTACATTCGCATATGATGATGTTAGTAAATTGTACTAAGTTTATACATAATTTTATTGACCCAAATGTGTACAGGTATATGTGTCATTGTTACAATGATAAAGAATTGTTTGCTCTTTGTATTCAGGTTTTGAATAAAAAATTAGGTTACAATGACTTAATTCTGTATTCACAAATAATCTCCCACCGTTAATGTTCATGAGGTTTGGACAACTAAAATTATTTTCACAAAAAATGTAATGACAAAAATTGATAATCAGTTGTTCTTGATTGTTCATTTCTTAAGATAGATTCTTTTGCTATGCTATTACCGTCACTTGTAATGTCACTGATCTTCTTCTCTCTACTGAACCAATTCAATTAGGCCAATTGGAACCAAGATGGCCACAATCATCTAAATGGCATAATCTTTGAAATTTGTGTCCAGCATTTTTAAGATGATTATCCTTTTGGTTGCTTTAACTAAAGATAGAACATTAGTGAAATCAATAACTTATGGTCATATTCCTGTAGCGAATTGGGTTCTATTACAGTAGCTGACCTATAAGTTTAATTGTAATGTTTTTGTGAGAATTAAGTATTGATGGCAGAAATTTGATAGTCTCTGTTTATTCACAACTTTCTAGACTGGTTGATTTTGATCTGGACTTATTTTATAGATACTTTTCTGTTATTAAACAATATCCATAAAATTGATCTTTATATGCCTTATGGTTTTTATACACCTACTCTTGGAGTGGTTCCTATATTGCATTCACCTTGTCTGCCTGTCTGTTTATCTGAGCTGTCCTTCCGTCCATCTGTCTGTTTGTCCATCAAATATATTGCCACTTTATCTCAGGTTCTACTGAATACAATGACTTCATATTTGGTTTAAAGTGACGAGTTGTAATGTGTGAGCTATTTTTAGATCTGTCAGATACCTCCTTCCTGTTTGCCAATACTTTGAATTTTTTGATAAGTTGAATGAACTTAACAAATTTTGTGTCACACTTTTCTCAGATACTACTCAACACTTAATGACTTCATATTTTGTCAGCAATGCAATAGTGATGGGTTGTAGTGTGTGTGCACTTTAAGAGTCTATCAGACACTTACAGAAGATTGCTTTTACAACCCTATAAAATTACAAAATAAGCATTCAATTTTTGTACTTACATTTATATGCTACAACTATGAAATTACGAGTTATATATCAAGATTTTATTTTGGTTTCCTATGTATGCATTGTAGTGATGTTGTGACATGCAGTCATGAATGCTAAATTTTATCGAGAAATGCATTTGATTTTGGAATGCCTATAGCGATTGCTTTCAGCTAATCAAAAGTATAGATTCTTATGAAACATACATGTAATGTTTTTAATTATATAACTTTGATTGCAATTCAGCTTATTAACCTCTGGTACATCTTATCACTTTAATCATATAACTTTTTTAAGATTTGAATTCTAATTTATTTGAGAATATTTGTCTTTTGTTCTAAAGAGAAACTTTATATTTTTACAGTTTATTAGATGTGTCATGTGTTTGTAAGAGGAATATATCAGTGGCCAAAGTAAGTATTAATTGTGTAATACTAGTTTGAATAAAGTAGGAATTACCTATTTGTAAAGAGGACAGGGCCAATTTCCTATTAATTTATTTCACTATATATTGTATTTTGAATACAAATAACTTAATTTTGGTTAGAGATGTCCTTTGGAGTTTTGAATCAAAACGCCTTTAACAGCAACATGTGGCCCTGATTAGCATTCTGAATTATTGAAATATGGAAAACTGTTCAAAAAGTTACATGATAAAAGACTTTAAATGGACTTGACAACTGGTAGAATATGACACAGGGAGTAAATGAATAAAGGGGGAATTGGCCCTACCTCTTCCTTATTATTTAAAGGAAAATCCATGTTGGGTATATTTGATTTCGTCCAATTACAAACTATTGGATGATAACATTGATATATTTGAGAGAAATTTATGGTTTTAGTGTACTATAAGAATCTTTTTGGTTTATATGGTTTTGTCTTCAATACACAGCTCAGATTCGCAGTTCCTTATTTTACCCCATACCTAAAAAAAAGGTCTCTGACCTGGCTCTCACTCTGTCTGTCTTAAGGATAGTAACAATTTACACCCAGCAACTTACCACTTTACTGTTGTCCGTCAGTCCTGTTTTTGTCATCGCAACTCCTATGAAACTACACAACAGAATTTCATGAAATTTTGTAGATAATAAGGACATACTATGTAGATGTTCATATCGACAGGAAAGTATGATTCAATTTTTTTCTAGGAGTTTTGCCCCTTTGAACTTAGAATTTTGGCTTATATATAATACTGCAACAGTTTGTCATCACAACTCCTCTGAAACCACACAACAGAATTTATGAAACTTTGTAGTTAATGAGGACATAAAATGTAGATGTGCATATCCACAAGAAATTTTTACCACTTGACTTTTTTTAGTAGCGATGATCGTTTAGTCTATGAACTTAGGAATTTGGTGAGATTTTGTTTGCCCAGTGACAATGCGGGGCCGTGGGGTATGTGAGCAAGCTCACAAAGGTTCTCTAATATTTAGTTAATATTGATGGTGAAATATCATATAATATTACGGATTACAAATGCATTGAGTTTTGTGATTGGATAACAATACAGAGATGTCAGTATATATTCAGGAAACTGCAGGGGTATATACGACGTTTTAATCCCCAATTGGAACCTCAAAAACGTCATCATAACACCTGTTACTATGTGATGTAGTCTGAGGCTATACAGAACACTAAAGAATGTCAGAGGCTCACAGAGGGAAAATAATGATGTGCATCCGTCAATAATACATTTTTAATACAAAATCACGCAATTTACACTTCAAATACTTAAATTTAATGTTTTAAAGTGTTATTATAAATTATTACATACAAGATAAAATTATTTTTCACAGCAAATTAAAAAATCCTTCACGTATGCGGAACATATCAGGTTGGGTTTTACAATATATGTGTTGTAAAAAACAAAAGCCACACACACATACAAACACAAAACATGAAATCTAAAAACTTTATTGAAAACGTCAAGATAAAAAAGGTGCATTTAAATGGATACTCAAAATATTGAGAAACAATAAACATGTAATGAATATATATGCTGCATTGTGAATGTGTAACAAATTAAATACCTGGCACTGGAAAAAACGGGTAATCCGTAATATATGTGTAATTCAGGTCTCAGACAGGGTATATTCTGTGATATTCCCGGCTTAGGGCTTATATCTCTAAGCCGGGAATGTCACAGTATATACCCTGTCTGAGACCTGAATAACATATAAAATCAAGATGAAGTAGCTAGCTTCTGCTATTTATTCCAATGTTGTATGAATTATGAATAAACAGTATTTTTTTACTTTCAGATAGACACAACTGATTCCAACAAAGACTCAACCTGTTTTGAACTCAACCATTTGAACTATTCATTTGTTTACATTATACAGAGTAATACAAGCATTCATTACTATTATATTACCTCTGTTCTAAGCAAACACAACTCACATATTATATTGTCTTTATTATTTCTTATTTATTGTTTTTTAATCTACATTTTACCAATTTCGTCCTTTGTTTTTTCTGAGGTATTTTGATGTGTTATGGTATGACATTTTTTATTTAGATAAAGATCATTTTTACTTGTAAATGTTAATTAGATGTTGTAACTTAGTGTACATACATCACAGTAAACATCCAACAGTCAATAATGACCGTCTACATCTTTTGTTCTGTTTTCCTTTTTAGCTCACCTGGCCAATGGGCATTGTGAGCTATTGTTATCACTATCATGTCAATTATTGTCATGCTGTGTCCATCCTTTATCTGTCATGGTAAACTTTAATTGTTAATTTTTAGTAAATTTCTGAGTTTTGGGTTATTTTCTTCTAAACATTTATAGAAAGAGAGAAATTTTAGTTAGCTCTGTCGGATAGAAATCAACCTTATGCAAATGAATATCAATACATCTGTCAACTTATTTCGGGTTGAAAAAAAATCTCTATGCAAAGTCTGGAACTGTTTGAAAATTGAGGCGATATATGAACCCTACAAAACAGACCAAAATTCATCGTTTATTTCGTATTTGAATGTTCCAAAATCAATTAAAGTCTTTTACATGTACATGTATATGTGCACTTGCCTAAAGGCGATTTCTATCCGACGCAGCTCCTTTTAAATATTAAAAAAGAGTAGAACATCTAGAAATGATACTGCGTGGCCAAAATTGTCAATTTACCCATTATAGAAGTTATTGCCCTTATATGATGATATCTACATATTAATATTTACATATTTTGCATTAACTGCAGTAATTTAAATATATTATTGAAATGATGAGCAAAGTAAGAACTACATATAAGTCTTACTTATGGGGGTTTTTAATGACCTTGACTTGCTATAAAGCCCTCGCACGGTCGGTTATACATATATGTTTGATGTACATAAGAGGAAGTATCAACATAAAAGTTGGGGTTATAAGAACATAGAAAGTAAAAAAAATGTCATAATAGTGACACAGCTTCAGTTTAATTATCTGTCACCAAGGTCCCACAGAGCACTGTTAGATAAGGGGGAGCTAACTCGTATGTGCTGGAACCAAGGGACAGGGGTTCAGTCTATCGCTAGACTTAATGTTCCGATAGACATAGCTAAAATGCAAGGAAGGTTTTCATTATTTAATTAACGATAACAATTTAGATGAATGATGATAACAATAAATTAGTAAACAATGCCAAATAATGATAATAATTAAAGTACAAAGTAAAAAATCTAAGTATCAACTCCAAAGTAAAACTATTTCTCCTTACAATGTAAAATGTAAAATAAATGCAAAAACTACTAAATCATAAAATGAACTTAATCTCAAAAATCAAAATGTAAAAGTCTCAAAAATAAAAGATTCTCAAAAGTATTTTCCACAGTTAAATTATGAGTCAGAGATAAATTTTGTCTCAACACTAAACCGTCAACTGGTAGACTGGTAGACAGTCTTGTAGGTCCAGTATCATGACGTGAGTAGTGAGAGGTTACGGTACTGAAACACTGACTGCTTTCTTAAAAATTATCAAAAAATGAAAGGTGAGTCCAAGATAAATTTTTGTCTCAACACTACAAAGTCAACTGGTTGACTGATCGACAGTCTTAAAGATCCAGTATAATAGACTTTAGCAGTGCAAGTTTAGGTTCCGAAAAGATGACTGCTTTTCCTAAATTTCACAACGCTATTTATACTAAAACCAAAAACTAATCAACATGACACAATATGTAAATAGTACTCTCATTAGCAAAATAGAATATAATTAAACAAAGCATTATCCCTTCATGTTTTGATAAAAACTTAAAATATCCTAGTGACATGCTAATTACAATTAATATTTCAAACCAAATTACTTTGAGCAAACTGTGACATGTCGAGTACTTGCCACAACATAGGTAAAATTAATTAAACAAAAATTTATTCAAAATTTTTACAAAATACAAAAATAAAATTTTCTTTCTTAAAATAAAACATATTTTTTATCCAAAATAACTCAAACACAAATATAAGCCAAATAACACACCATGACATATGACTAAGAGGAGATATGGGTAAACCTCAATGAGACAGCCACAAAAATACACACGATAAAAACCCAAAAGACAAATGGAGGTTAACATAGTTTTCAACAAAGACAGATGTCTTTTCAATATTCCAAGCTTTACATCAGTAGGAGTCTGAAAAGTATGTTAATGATACTAGTAGAAACTATCTAAGATCTGTTATCAACACCAAATTGACAAAAATCATTAAGATAAACCATTGACAAGGTTTCTGACTGGGACAGGGAAATGAACATGTGTTAGGAGGTTAAAGTAGTTTTTAGTCCCCTACCGGTCGAAGGGGACTTTAGGTTTGCACTCCATCCGTCTGTCTGTCCATCCGTCAAATCAGTTTTCCACACTTTTTTCTTCGTGCTTGAAGATATTGATTTGATATTTGGTATATTGTTTTATCATGACAAGTTACAGATCAAGTTCGAATTTTGTTCCGGTCTGATAATTTTGTGCAGAGTTATGGTCCTTGGACTTAGAAAATTCACTCAAATATTCAGTTTTCCGCACTTTTTTTTGTCATGCTTGAAGATATTGATTTAATAATTTGTACGTTGTTTTATCATGACAAGTTACAAATCAAGTTCGAATTTTGTTCCGGTCTGATAATTTTGTGCAGAGTTATGGTCCTTGGACTTAGAAAATTTACTTAAATAATCAGTTTTCCACTTATTTTGTCATCATGCTTGAACATGTTGAAGTTATTGACTTGATATTTGTTATATAGTTTACACCATGACAAGTTATAGATCAAGTTAGCATATTGTTCCAGTACAATTAATTTTTTGACCGGTAGGGGACTATGTATTGCCGTGCAATACTCTCAGAATGCTTGTTTTTTCAGGTATCCCTTTTTCTATTTTAATCTTGATCAATGGACAAAAATACAAGTACAAAAAAAATCAATGATGAAGAAGACTATCAAAGAATGCTCACAGTAACCAATATAGAAAGCAGGATCAAATTCTGACTTGTTGCTGTACTTAAAGAGCAAAATAAAGCAACTTCATACATATGGATCACACATTTTGTCAGTTAATTTTGATACTAGTAGCTCACTTTATCAAATATACTTTCGAAGATTAGTGAAAGAACAAATTTCGTTTTTAACATAAAAAATCAAATAATGTGGTATGTCAAATAAAATCCAGTTGGTAATCAGAAAAAAATAGATCAAGCTTGTTACCTATGTGTATTTGATACAGACCCAGATAGTGGAAAATCTTTTGTAAACTTTTCTAGTCAATAAAGCTTAAATTTGTCTAACAAATGTAATTTAAAGGCAACAGGTGTCATGCATCTATTATAGTTTTAAAGATGATATGCAATAAATCTTGCATTGCTGATCAGTTTTATTATTAAAAGTTGGTTATAAAGAAAAAATAGGCAAACATGCAAAAAATGGTAATTTAAGGGCAACAACTTAGGTTGACATAACATTTCAGACATAGATTTTGAATTCTTATCATTTTTGCTCATTTACTGCTTCTATCTATAATAGTTTTCAATATAATAATCATAAAATACTAAGATATATTACAGTGGTAACTTTAAGATAATTCAATTAAACAATCCGGCATAATCATGTAAAGGTCACATTCCTTATTCCATAAAACTGTTCATGACACAAATTCTACCAGAGGGTATAAATCCCCTCAATATATATTCAAATTTAAAGAACTAAGCAATCCAATTAGCCAAGTCTGTGGTCGGTTTATACATCATTCACTTACTAAAGATAGACATTTATAAACTTAGTTTAAACATATTTTATTTGCTCAAAGCAAAAAGGATCAGACACAAGTAAAACATACTTATAAAGTCTTCTCCACAGTACAATATATATAACAATACAAATTGAACGTGAGCATGCATCATATAATATAAACAACATAAATATTACTAAACTTATACTGAAAAAAGGAGAGGGAATGAGGAAAGAACGACAGAGATTAGGATGATGAAAATGATGATGATGTGCGTTTTACCTATGTTGATACTATACTACGAGGAATCGTTTTGATCTCTTTATAAAATAGAATACTTGTTTAACAATTTGCATATTTTGATCATAGGAAAGAGTTTCTTTTCCAAAAACCAATAGTTTTAAGTCCAACTCGCAGCCTTCGGGAAGCCAGCTGAGACCATTAAAAAGAATAGCCCTTTCATTTAGATAGAAAGGACAATCAAAGAAAAATGGTGCATGTCCTCAATATCCAAACCACTACATGTTGGATCAGATATAATGTTAGCTCTAAACAAGTCACAATTCAAGAAGGATGCCGAACATCTAAATTGGGTTAATATTATATTTAATTTTCTTGGACCATATAAATAATGTTTGGATTGATTCTCATTTCGAATGTCGTGGTTTTTTAATTCTACTTTGAATTTTGATAACGAGTCTACATTTCGAACTTCAAATTATTCCAAAGTTTAATTGTTGATGGGATAAATGATTGGGAAGTCAGTGTCAGCCTGCAAAATGGTAAAATGATATCTTGTCCATTTCGCAAAGGATATTGTGTTGTACTTTGAATTTTTAGGGCACAAGGCTACATAAATATTCAGGGGCATTATTATTCTGAATTTTATAAAATAATTGTAGTTTTCTTTTTTTTCTTCGTTCCTCTAAAGTTTCCCAACCAACCTCTTTTAAGACAGTCTCAGAGTGTGTGAAAACAGGCAAACCTGTTACAATTCGTGCAGCTTCAAGTTGCAGCTGTTCTAATTTAATTGAATAACCTTTTCCGCAATTTTCCCATACTTCAGTTGCATATTCAAAAATATTTAAAAAATTAATAAACTCTAAAGGTTGTAGTAAGTACCAACAGGCATGCAAAAACCATCTTGACGGCAACCCTCGCTAAAATACTTGCGCTTTTTGCAATATGTGTAAATAATTCTTATATGATTTGCATATTAGAGAATACGTTGATATGATTGGTTGAAAGGACTTCCGGTAGTTGTTCTTGACGTTGTTTATTTTTCGATAGACGACGTTGACCGAACTTCTTTTCGTAACCAATGTAAACAAGATGGCGGCGATAATGACACAATCCGGATCGACGTTAACAAAATTTATTTTCAATTCGCGTTAATAGGTCTTAATAGTTAAATTAAATAATAA